GTGCTGGAATAGAACTAGTTGGTGTTTTAAAATCTAGTTGATTTTGTAAAATATATATGATATGTTACATCAAAGGCAAGGACAAAGGCAAAGGCAGGCGTGGGGAAAACCAGAGGGGGCTTTATTAAACGAAACTACAAGCAGGGCAAAAGGAAATGGACCACGAGGGGTTAAAATGGGGTAGAGAGAATCAGGCCAAAACACAGGATGTGGGGCAAACTGGGGAGCACATGCAGGCAGCAACATCAATGACTGGACTGGGGGGCTCAACACTGGTAGGCGCTACACATACACACACACACATTTCCAACAACCATCCATACACCCATGTATTTTTTATTCGAACTCTAGCACACCTCGTATAGCCTGGCATCCTATCCAGGGTGTTGCCCTGCACTGTGCTACATGGGTTAAATTCAGAAAAGTACTAAAAGTATGGTACGTCTTTGTGTTGGTTTTCCACTGGCGTCAAAACTGGTACCGAATTTAAAAAATTGCCATAGCATTGTAGCACCAGTGAGATTTGCGAATCCCAGCATGCCTCGCGAGCGCTTGTGGATATAGCCTTGTGTCTGTGTATTGTAAATAGCCCTTGTCTTGTTGTTGTTGTTTTGGTTATAGTTGCCTTCCCAATTGTGGCGTGTATGTTTGCCTGTGTCTTGTGAGTTCTTCGCGTGTTCTTAGCTTGTATAACAATCCCACCATGTGTTCACCTTACAGTTCGCCGTCTGACCCAAACATGTTTTCCATGTTTGGGTTTGCTGCTCATTGAGTGTTTATTACAGTTCTGTTCAGAACTACAGTGAAGAGCGTGGGGGATATTCCATGAAAGTAGCTAAAGAAAGCCAGACTTTCCCGAAAAAGTCTGACTCAAACTATCACCATCTCTAAACTAAGTCTCATGTCATTCCACTAACACAGTTCAGATTTAACTAATTAAGTTATGTAAATGTTACAAGTGCCTAGTACAGTGACACGGTGGTACAGTGGTTTGCGCTGTCACTTTATACCGTGAAATTTCCTGGTTTGATTTCCATAGCCAACGGGGAATCTTCTGGGTTAACGTGTCATTCTTACTGTATATTGTTATTCTGTATTAATTGATCTCCCTAAAATACTTTCAGTTGCATCCGTGTGAAATGTTCTGCACCGTATCTTGTCTTTGCTTTTTACTAACAGACTTTCAAGGTAGACTAGCTGTGACTAAACAAAATATTAAAATATCTTCCTGTCCATATTATTTTAACGGATTTTTTTTTCCAATTCCAGTCATTGCATTTCATGCTAGTCCTTTGTAATATGGGTATGCTTTTATTCAAATGATTCTGGAATTAATTGGAATGCCCAGATGTGATTTTTATAGGCTTTGTTATATTTATTACATGACATGAGTAGTGAGAATGCGGAATTGTGTGTGATTATATACTGTATATATATATATATAACTGGAGTTGAGAACCACTGTTTTACTATTGGCTGATTGAGAGGTCTTCCCAAAAACCTGCACCTACAGCAGTCCTCCATGAAGCAGGTTCCTCACCCCTGTGTCATGTCGGAACGGGGAAGCAGGTGAAATGAGCCGTGAAGAAGGGCAAACGGGGTTTATTGTCAGGGAAACAGACTCGGAACATGCAACGTCAATGACAGACCTAGGGAAACAGACTTGAACGCGGACTAAATACAGAACATGACATCAGAAGAAATGCAAGACAGCTGGTACGATGGGAATTCACACGCGGGTAACGAGGTGGGCATGGCACACACGAGGACTGGATGCACAGGTCATGACAGAACCCCCCCCTAAAGCACGCACTCCGGGCGTGCCCCAAGGGGAGCGGCGGACAGGACGAGACCGGGAACAAGACGAACCTGGAAAACAAGACAAGACCGTTACTGGGGCACAGGGAACAGGACCGAAACACAAAACAAACACAAGGGCAGAAACCACGACAAAACCTGACAGAGCACAGGGAATGCGGACAGGCAGACCAGAAAGGGATACACAGGGGAAACACTAATGGAAGGGACAAAAGGTCCAGGAGTGAATGGAGGCACGACAGGAGGACGAGGAGCTGAGACAGGAGAAACAGAGGGAGGAGGAAACACAGGAGGCCAAACGGGAAAGGTCGGGGGACAAAGGCGAGCTCAAGGGAGCCACGGCGGGCGACGGGCAGCAGCGGGAGGGGCCGCAGGAGACGGGGAGACAGGAGCAGGAGGGGACCACAAAGGGAACGAGGAGACAGGCTGAGGACAGATGGAGGAATCGAGGAGGAAGACGGAGGGGGCACCAGGGGAGACGAGGAGGGAGTCAGAGGGGAGCCCGATGGCACAGCCACAGCCGGCGAAGGCACAGCCGACCAACGAGTCGACGTCAGGGAACCCACAGGTGACCGACGAGGCGTCGGAGGTGGGACCGAGGACTGTCAATGAGGTGTCAGAGGGGGACCCGCAGGCGACCGCCAAGCCGGAGCCCCCCGAGCCCTAGCCAAGACAAGAGAGGGCGAGCCAGTGGGCAGGGCGGGAGGGACCCTGGCCCTGCGCTTGTGTCCTCTCCCCTTTCGGGAGGGCTAGCCAGGGGGCATCAGGTGCAGGCGGTGCCGTAGCTGGGGCTGTGGGCGGAGCTGCAGGCGGCGCCTGGACCTCGGGCGGAACAGCAGATGGAGCCACGGGTGGAGTGTTGGGCACGGGAAGAGCTGCAGGCGGCGCTGGGACCTTGGGCCCGGGCGGAGCTGCAGGCGCAGCGAGAGCCTCAGGCACGGGCGGAGCTGCAGCCGCAGCGAGAACTCATTTGAAACCTTGTATAGTGGTCCAGTGGACGTCAGCATTCGACGTTCAGAAGACGTTGTAAAAAGACATCATAAAAGCTTTCATTCTGGCTCCTCAGGGGACGTCTTTTCTACGTATGACAAAGACGTCGTTTAGACGTATCTTTGCGCAGTGGGTCATAGCATTTACTGTCCAGAAAAGTGCGCACATTCCAGGTGCCAAAATGTATTATTTTTTTTGTTTCTGACCACATGGAGGAGACCCCACTGGACGCAGTAGTCCAGCCATGAAAGTGGTGAGGCAGACAATTTTTAGGGCACCTTTTCTAGCTCCCTTCCCTACTGGGGAGAGCAGTGTGGACCCTGAAAAGGGCTGCTCGGTCATGGGTAAAAGCACCGACAAACTCTCCTACCTCATTCCGAGAGTTCGACGACTCAACTTCATCCACCACCTGTGTGCCAGTTCGTGGCTAAGAGCTTCCAGACTTCTCAATCCTGCTCCTATTGCCACTTGCTGATCGCCATAGGACTTGAGTGGAGAGGAGGGTGCTGATGGATTCCCAACAGGTGGACGCCTGTGCGTGGCTTCTTTTAACTTGGGGAGACTGGGGCATAAACAGCCACCACACGGTCCTTGACAGAGACAAACCTATTATCAACAGCATGGACTCCATGACAGTTGGAGGTCCCTGTCTGCTGCAGCCTTCTTCCACCTTCACAGCCGTTGTTGTGATCCACCTGCATGCCTGGACACAATCCTCCGCCTGCTCCGCTGTTGAGGTCTTTTTTGAGTCGCGCTTTGTCTGGCACCTCCCCCTCAACCTTACCGCCAAGGGTGACCCTACCAGGAGTGTGGGTCCAGACGGTATCGCTCTTGGGATTTCTGGTATACGCAAGCCTCTCCACCACAACAAGGTGGTGACTCTTCGGAGAGTCCACTGATCAAAGCACACATACTTTCTTAGTTGTGCCTATCTTGTTAGGTTTTAGAGCTATTATCCCATATGTGTATTGCCCCATTGCATATTATACAGATAATGTAAACATTAAAAAAATAATAAAAGTTTTGCCCAGAAAGAAATATGAAAAACCAAGGTATGTGCAACTGTTGCCCTGAACCCCAAATGCTAAACCAATATCTAGTTTCAGCTGAAATTACCTATTTTCTTGACTAGTAACAAGACTTTGCACAAATTATGAAATGGCTTGAACCACAAAAGTAATCGGTATGCATCTTTGTCTGTGTACTGGTCATTAAAAACCGCCTTAAAATATGGGGCTAACTTATCTGCGGTTTGGGATACTGTCCTCTGCATGGTCCATCTCCTTTTATTTTTCCCCGGAAAATTACATTGCGTTGTGAGCGGATTAGCCGTCCTTTTTTGTTTTGTGTGTGTTTTCAAGATTTGCCACACGTTTTTGGAATTAGTTTGTGTTTTCTGAATTTGTAGCATGTTGACACTTACGGGCTACTGTAGAATATACAATAAATTTGGTTATAAAAGTGAATTGAATTCTACTGATAATGTACTGCAGTGGTACCTTGGTTTGCGAGCATAATTCGTTCTGGAAACGTGCAAAGCACTCATATCAAAGCAAATTTTCCCATTAGAAATAATGGAAACTCAGATGATTCTAGTCCCAGTTTGTGTTCCACAACCCAAAAATATCCAGTCTTCACTGGAATCTTTTTTTTTTTGTGTTTAACAAGGAACCTATCCAATAACAGCTGATTTTGCCTCATTTTCAAATGGAAATGTGAACATTGCATTGTCCTTAAAGAGATTCATCGCTCGCACTGTTACGCCCTTATTCGGGTGTTGCTTTTCTACTAAATTTTGACTATACGAGTGAGGGATGCCGACTGAGACCGAGCATGGGAGATGATTACCCACAATCCCAGAGTGAGAGAGAGAGAAGAACCATCGGCTGAGTTGTGATTGCGTGATGCTAGGCAGACAAAGCGTATATGTAATAATTGCATTGCAAGACCTCGCTCGTTTATCAAGTTAAAATTAGTTAAAGTTTTTTGCTCGTCTTGCAATATACTCACAGACCAAGTAACTTTCACTGTATTTAAAAAAAACACAACATCACTGTTTTATATTGTGTTTATTATTGAATTGCTGATTTAAATTCGGACAATCACTTAAAAGAGTAAGAATGATTAGTGAATAGTAAATATGATATGACAACAATCACTCATTTCTGATATTTGCTTTTTTGACCCCTAGGCTCTGCTATACTTTGGTAAGCCTGGGGTACGCCTTCTCTTAGTCTCAGTCAACAGATCAAACACAATCTGCTCTTTGCATTTTCAGTAATGCAGTCAAGCTTTCTAATGCAAGCAGAATGGCACAAAAACGCACACACACACAGAAAATTATATTACCTAACTCAAACTACTGTTTCAGTGTCTGATCATACATGATACCTAAATTTGACTGTATATGTTTATTTTTGTGAGTCTGGACTCCCCACTTTCATATCTGCCTCAGGAATTCCCTACGGATCCCAAAGCCAACAGCAATCTATGTAAACAAACTTCTCCTGCATCTAGTCCCAGTTTGTGTCTTCAGACATGAAGTACAATAAAGTGAAATGATCTGGATCTCTGGAGCAGTGTTTCTTTAAGTGTGGCTTCTAACTTCTGTATAGTATAGGCCTACTGCCCTACAAAAACACAGAACCTACACTGACACTGAAACTGGGAAGTTTTTCGACCATCCATCTCTATGTATAGCAGGTAGGTAAATGATAGTGTGTTTTTCAAAACCGAGCATAGCTGAACTAAGATATTTTGCTGTGAGATAAAACCTCAGCTCAATTTTGACAAAATATGCAAGTTAAGCCATTTTGCCTTTGTACAGCAGTATAGGGTGACTAATTATAAACTGTTGTAGGTCCACAAGCTTTTACACACAATGATTAACATGATAACAGTGTCTCCAAAGTCTTTCACTAACTTCAATACCTTAAGTTAATGTGTTAGAATTACAAAGTGTATCTGTGAACCTTTGCAAAAAATGTGTTCCATTATTTTGATGTTTGTTGCTTATGTATAATATTTGCTTTATATTTAGTACAGTAAATCAAAATTATTCATTCAGGAGGATATCCTACTGTTTCATCCATCTCATTCTATGAGGGGGCACAGTGTGATGATGTTTTCTGCACTTCCAAATATGGGAAAAAACAATCTAAATCCAGGATAGAGCGGCTGAGTGAATGTGGTCTGAACTCTGTGGATCAGAGTCATTATGTCAGAGACTCTGTAGAAGGACAGAATTCCTCCCTTGTGATCCAAATATACACCAATTCGAGGGCAAGAAGATAGAGGCAAAGAGGTCTTGCTGTTATTGTATCTGAAACAGCATTTTGAATTGGAGCAGTGCAAACTCCAGGACTTGTCATTATGTCCAAGACAGCAATCATTACCAGATCCTTTCCTACCAATTTCTTTATATGACACTCCTATATAAACTTCCCCACTCCACTGAACCTCCCAGTAACAGCAACCAGACAAACCCTCTTTACACAGTATTTGGCTAACAGAGTCAAATCTTTCTGGATGAGAAGGATAATAGTAATTGTCTCCATCCCTAATGACCTCTGTGTCATTGTTAAAGAGAAACAGGTTTTCATGGACTGTGTTGTGGTCCAGAGAGAGCTGACAGGCATCTGATGCAGAAAAACAAGAAATAAGAATATTATAGTCTCATCTGACAGATGTATATCCTATTTAACCTATATGTATTGCTTTTTGATTGGTGCTAAAATGCTAAGTAAAATAGTAACATTATTTGTGGTTTACAGTTCAAATCTCGGCCTAGGTCTGTGTCTCTGTCTGTGGGTTTATGTCTCTGACTCAGACTCACGTTGTAAGAACAGTCCTCTGATCCGGGTCTCTGGTGTTGGCAGGACGGTCTCAATATTCACTAAAAAGATAGAGCTGAGTTAATGTCATTAACTTGCTTTTAAGATTTTATTTGTGTATTTTTGTTACATTGATATATTCAGCCATGGAAAAAATTATGAGACCACTCTATATTTTAAAACAAATCTGCATTTTTAAATCCTGGCTTAATTCGGGTTCTGCTGGCAGAAGGCTACACTGAGCAGCAGATTGCTTCCAGGTTCAAAATTTCTAAGACAGCAGTACACAAGAATAAGGTGAAACTGGAGACACTGGGAATGACCAAAACCAGCCAGGTAGAGGGGGGAAGCAAATTTCTGATGCCTGAGATGACCTTATGCAACAGTTTCTCATGAATCAGAGGATGACATCAAGTGGCTTTCAAAAGGAATGGCAAACATTAAGTGCAGGTGTGAAGTGCACTGCTAGGATAGTTTGCATCAGGCTCCTAGAAGCAGGACTGAAATCCCATAAAGCAAGGAAGAAGCCCTTTATGAATGAGAAGCAGGGAAGAACCAGGCTTCAGTTTGCAAAAAAGTATATATTATTCATAGCCGCACACCTATACATTGAGAAATGAGTGAAACAAAAAATTGTGCTGTGGTCTCTTAATTTTTTCCATGGCTGTATTGTATATGGATAGTTATTTCACATGGAAATAACTGAAATTCTGATTCGTATTAACTTGTATAAAAAAATTGAACATCATGAGTATAATGCAGATATTAAACATAATTTGTAAAGTAATGGTTGTTCCAAACTCTTGGATACTTTTTGATGACATAGGTAAGTGACAACTTGCTTATAACTTCTTAGTAGTTCTTCATTTTTAAATATTAATATTCTGTGTTAACCTTTTTGGCCAATGTTTGCTAATTTCTTTCTGCAGCAGTCTTCAAGTTTCTCTTGCAGACCAAAAACAGACATCATCAAACCCTCAGAAAAGCAGCATGGATCCATAGTGATCTTGGGTAGATCTTCATGTTTTGGAAGCTGGCAGAGAGATTCAAAACTCTACACAGACAGCACACCGAAGATAAGCAGATCAGTTACTCAATTAGATTTTTTTTAGATACATGCATGTGCACACACACACACACACACACACACACACACACACACACACACACAGAGGTTTGTATTTATATCTTTGCGGAGACTTTCTATTAATTTCTATGGGGAAAAACTCTAATCCCAACATGATGACCTTAACCCCAACCCAGCCCTAACCTTAACCATAAATAACCAAACTAAATACAAGACTTTTGGCATTTTTAGTTTTTTGATTGCTGTCACAGATCTTTGTGGGGACCTGAAAAATTGTCCCCACTATGTCAAAATAATGGTCCCCACAACATTTGGTCCCCACAATGTAATATAAGCATAACCCACACACACATACAATATAAACATAAAACACAAACACAACCATGTTTGTGTGTGTGCGTGTGTAAGTATGAGGAAACCCCAACTACATAAAAAGAAACATACTTGTTCATGTATAGTTTGTGTCAGAGAGTCATATCCAGTGATGTTACCTGGAGGAAATGGATGTGATCCTGTGTGCATGAAAGGTATTCCATCTCATTCTTTATCTTCTTTAGCTGACTAACATTCTGCTCCAGTTGCTCACGGACGTCTACAGCCTCAGTCATTTTAGCCTTCTCCTGATCTGCAATCATCTTCTTAAACTCAGAGTGGCCATTTTTAATGAAGCTGATCAGCTCAGTAAAGATCTTCTCACTGTCCTCCACCATTGCTTCTGCTGAGTGCTGTTACAGACGTGGGGACAAGAGTTACACACATTTACTCAGCACTCAAAGGGACACCAGACAGCCTGCTCCCATAGGTAGGAAAATGGCACTTTCTGTGCTGCTTAAAGGCTGCGCACGAGAGAACCCAGCCTGAGATGACATGGCTCTTTCTGTCTTTCAGCAGCTAGCTGCTGCCTTCATTTCTCCTCCGCACTTACTGTGAATGAGTCTACACTCTTTTTCATCTCCTGAAGCTTCTTCTCTCTCTTCTGTATTCTCTGCTGGACTTCTTTGTGTTTTCTCTCGATCTGCTTCTGTAGTAAACAAACAAAATTTATTATGTATATATTACACTTACTAGGAAATTATCTTTCTCCAGGTAATCATCCTATGTGCATGAATCAATTAATCTACCAGTTACAATTACATCAGTGTGAGGATTGTCTTAATAACACATTGTACAGGGTTACTCAGGAGGCTGGAGAATCTTGGGATAGTTATGCAAACACAGCAGAGATGATGTGACTGCAAGATTCATTCCTGCTTAGTTATGGCTTTGGAAATCAAAGTGACAAACCAAGCCAACATTCAGCGATGACACAAATTTTATTTACATACAACTCAGCTGTAATGCAACTAATCCACCATATGCAGGATTCATTTCCTTTTCTTTCCATTTTTATAGTCAACTTCATACAGCATGTAAATCCCACTTCCTGTTCTTACTGCTGTCCCACAGTGGACTTTATACTTCCTGCATGAACACTTTTCTGTTACTGTTCTTCCTGATACCTCGCAATGCACTTACAGTAATACAGTCTGCAAGATTCACTTCCAGTTCTTACTGCTTTCTTGCTATGGACTTCAGATGCAGGATTCACATAATTTCTTTCAATTTAGATCTTATGCTTCACTCCACTTTGTTATATCTTTAGTCATTGAAAGGAACAAGTTATTTGAGAATGACTCACCAATTTGTAGAGCGTATGGTAACACCATAACAGCCAAAGCATGTAGCACAACTTAAGAGAACACCATTCATAACTTCATGCCACATTGCAAATTTTCAGTTCACTGTAGGCTAGTAACCTGTTAAAACAGGGGTCTCAAACTCAAATAACCTGAGGGACACTGGCTCAAGGGGGTAACTTGATAATCTGATAAATCGCTGCCATTAAAACTTGCCATCTGTGGGGGTTGCAGCGACGCTAGAATTCACCACCAAATTTTACCGTTGCTGATTAGTTTTTTATTCTCTGTGGAAAGCTAGTGATCAATATTAATGCATTTTAATATTTTATTTGATGTGGTATATATGGGAGGTATTTTCTGCAAAAAATAAAATTAAAATGAAAATGATAAAAAGAAAATACAATCTCCACTTTGCCATTTACTTCCCAAAGTCTGTGCGTAAAAATCCTGCACAAATTAAAATTAAAATGAAATAGCACTATTTGCATTTTAATTTTCCACTCATGTATGAGTCAGATGTGAAAAATTGAAAAATAAAATTAAAAACCCTTTTTGTCTTTTCATTTTCCAATTTGACTTTTCATTTCCTACTTTGGCTTTTCATTTTCAAGTTCGCTACATGCAAATATATGTTAATCGGAGCGGGGCGGTGGGCGGAGCTACTGATCACTGCTGCGCTTCTCAGTGCGTTTGCCGATTCCTTTCTTCTTGTGTTTCTTGCCCGTGTAGCCCAAACTAATGGCAAAGTCACACGCGGCTTAAGTTAGCTACTAGCTACAGCTTCCGATTCATTTACCTTCTTATTCGTAGCGTCTAATTTCGGGGCTTTATTTTTCAATTTTTCACATCTAACTCATACATGAGTGGAAAATTAAAATGCAAATAGTGCTATTTCATTTTAATTTTAATGGGGTAAATGGCAAAGTGGAGATCGTATTTTCTTTTTATCATTTTCATTTTAATTTTATTTTTTGCAGAAAATACCTCTCATAGGTATAGGCAGGATAAACCACTTCGAGGTGTGCGGTTATATTAAAATGGTCAGCTCCAACTTGGTTAGCATTACAGAAAGTTGTCGTTGATTATTTTCATATAACCTCACATTTTATCGCGGTTTACCCTTTACATGTAGTTTTTCTCATCCTTACCTGTTTTTCACTCCTTTCTGCAGCAGCTGTGATTAAATCATGGCCCTTGTGCTTGTCCAATGTACACAGGTAACAGATACACTGCTGGTCAGTGTGGCAGTAAACCTCCAGCACTTTACCATGATTGGAACAGATCTTTCCTTGCACTTCTCCAGTGTCATCAGTGATCTTGTGTATCCCAAAGTTTAGCTTGACAGCTTCGATTTTTCCCCCAACACCGGTATCACATTCCTCATCGCCAGATTCAGATTCAGACATCTTCGGTTTGTCTGTCTTTAGATTTTCCAACATTTCAGCCAGCAGGGTGTTATTGTGTAGCACTGGTTTTACTTTGAAGTTTTGTCTGCACTTAGGGCATCTGCATTCATCGTCATCTTGATCCCAGTAGTTCTTAATGCAGCCCATGCAGTAATTGTGTCCGCAGGGAGTAGTCACTGGATTCTTTAGTACATCCAAGCAGATAGGACAGATAAGCCAGTCCTGATGTATTGAGATTCTAGCCTTTTCCATTTTACTGCAAAGTTCACTCTGCTCTCTCAATTCTTAAATTGCCAGAAGTGTGGGGCTGAACTGAGACCAAGTCAATCATTTTCACTTTAGCACTGTAATGCACGCCCACTGCCAATATGGTCTATATATGGTATTCTCTGAGGTCTCTGTGACCAGGAACATAACAACGCATCTGGAAACTTGCTTTCTTACTTTTGATTTCTGTTTGCTCTGTAGTAAGCATCACAGGAGACCAGAGCATGAGACATTTTAGCATTCATTTTTCTGGTGCATCCAGTAGCTGCAGCGCCAAACCCCCAAACAGTTTCAGGACATTGATATCAAACAACGGGGGTGCATGAGGTTTGCTGAATACCTGTAGTCAGGCCAACTTAAATCAAGTGGGGTATATACAGGTATACAGTAGCAGCCTTGGTACGACATACAACATTGATGGAGGGAGGGTTTTCACAATACGTTTCATAAGAGAGAGGATAGAGCAAAATGGGAGGGGACGATGCAATATGTATGTAAACTATAAAGAATACAGCAGCAGCAGGCACATAGCCTTGTTGTAGAATTTGTTCGCTAACAATCAGACAAGCAGCCAGTTACAAAGATTATGAGTTTGAACCTCCTCGAAATTTGCTTCCCTGTCCCTGGTTGTTGAAGGATGGGAGGAGTCTTCAAAATGCTGGAGGCTTTCCGGGCGCAATGTTTCTGGAAAATGTCCTTGATGCAGGGGAGAGAGGTCTTGATTTTTTTCCCATTGTGTGTGCTATCCTCTGCAGAGACTTGTGGTTTTGGGCTTTGCAATTCCCAAATCAGATAGTGAGGCAGTAGGTCAGAATACTCCCTTTGGTACCCCTATAGAACAGGGTGAAGATGAGGGATGGCTTCAGCAAGTAGAAATGCTGTGCCTTCTTGACTAGGGTAGTGGTGTTTAGAGTCCAGGTGAGGTGTTCTGCCAGGTGTACTCCAAGAAATTTGGTGCTCCAGACTTTGTCCACTGCACATACCTCGATGTATAATGGAGAGTGGGCAGCCTTGGCTTTCCTGAAGTGGATGATCTCTTTCATCTTGTCCACATCAACAGACATTGTTTATCTTGCACCAGTCCATGAGCTGCTCAACCTTCAGTCATTATTGCTGACTCATCATTGTCGCTGATGAGACCCACTACAGACATTTCATCAGTAAATTTGATTATGGTATTTGAGGTTTTTTGAGTCAGCAGGATTAACAGAAGTGGGCTGAGCACACAGCCTTGGGAAGCAACAGTGCTCAGCATTATGTGCTGGAGATAATGTTACCTAAGCCAAATGTCTGGGTTCTCTTAGTCAGGATGTCCAAAATCTAGTGGGAATGTTGAAATCCAGTAGCTTGAGCTTCTCTGTAAACTTCTGATACTTCTGATATTAAATGCTGAGCTGAAGTCAACAAACAGCATTCATACTGAATAGTTCTTTCTATTCAGGTAGGATACGGCCAGATGTAGAGCCGAGGATATGGCATCCGTAGTGGAATGGCAGGTTGGAAAGGGTTGTATGAAATTGGAAGTGCAGTTTTCATGTGCCCCATGACTAGCCTTTTGAAGCACTTCATGATAACTGGTGTGAGTACAACAAGGTGATTGTTGTTGAGGGAAGTGGTGTCATGCGCCTGTCACACCCCCTACACAAAACGCTAATCAACGGAGATCGGTTATACCTGCGGAAGTGGCCCTAAAATAGTTCACCCCACGTTACTCTAACGTAAGGTGTTGTTGTTCCAACGCGATTTACTGAGCATTTCTCCTCTGTCCTCCGTACAGCCTTGGTCTGACCCTCCTGTTGTGCTCCTATCTCTTCCCCGCTTCCCTGGATCCTGGCCATGTGTTACCTTTCGTTGTGTCACTTCCATCGGACTGACTTCCCTGGCTTTCCAGACCTTGCGCTCCATGACCCCCGACTCCACTTCAGCTTGTCCTTTCTGTTCTGGTTGCCTGTGTTCGAATAAATCTTCCTGGCTTCCGAACCCCATGCCCTCTAGTGTGTTCTGTTTCGTGACAAGAGGCCTTTGACATCTCCAGCAGAGATATGATAATGGTCTTGATGCATTAAGAGGTGACCGCCTGGCTCAGGGAAATGTTGAAGATGTCTGTGAGGGCATCAGTCAGCTAGTTTGTGCATTTCTTGAGTACCCAACCTTATATGTTGTCTGGTCCAGCAACTTTGCATGGATTCACTCTTGACAGAGTTCTCCTCACATCAGCTGAGGGTAGACAAAGTATCCTGTCCTCCGGGAGGGGGAAGGTCTTCATAGCAGGTATGTTATATAGAAGTCATTCAGTACTGTATTAAGATGAACTCACAGGTGGCAAAGTAATTGGCCACGTCTCCCACGTAGCATAGAATTAAAGAAAATTGCTGAATGTCCTCCTGTTACTGTAATGATTTGGGAAGTTGTGATTGTTCCGCTCCATTACTCACGGTTCGGCGGAGTACCCCCAACTACACCTAGCAGACATACATATGAGGTGATTTAGGTATGGATTGATTCTGATCGTGTATGGACTAATCATCCCGAGATTCAAGTATGTCTTCCATGATTCACCCATAATATTATTGTTCCAGGGTGGAACTGCACAAACATGTTTTTCACTGGTCACTTATATAACTTGTTTCTCATTAATAATTTGTTTCTCACAAAAAGAGTTAGGACAGCTGTCTTGTCTTTCTCTGGGGAAAGGGATGCTTATCTTGTCTCTCCCAGGAGAGAAGGGAAAGTGTTGCTCAAACTGTTTTGTTCTCATAAAAAGAGCTAGGACGCCTATCTTGTCTTTCTCTAGGGAAAGGGATACCTATCTTATCTCTCTCAGGGGAAAAGAGAAAGTGTTGCCCAAAATGCTTCATAATCACAAGCACAAACAGCATCACCTGACCAGGAGTTGGAGAACGAAGAGCACATCACTTGAGGGGAGGGGTGAGCCTAGCCAGCTCGGCCCCTGCCCACACATGTACCGCTCTCAATTTAGTATAAAGGAAGAGGGAAAACTCAGTACTGACCGAAGCACACCTGTGGCACTGCTCGGGACTCACGTGTTGGTCTCCTGCCAGGACTGAAAGTATGTGAAGGTGGGTGATGATGGCATGTCCGAGTGTGAATAGCTTTGCAGCCGCTGATGCATTTTAATCATTAGAGGGACTACTTACTAATGTTTGTGGCATTTCATAATTTTGCCTTATTATATTCCATAATTTAGTAATAATTAAAGGGACTCAAACTTAATCCGTTCAGAACTCCGGATCAAATCTT